TCAATGGATGCGGCGAACTCGTCGGGCGGCAGCGCAGCCATGGGCGGGCGTAAGGCCGACCCCGCCCCACTCCTACCGCATACTGCTCACCGCTCGAGGTAGGCAGCTGCGCGCGATGCCGGGCGGAACATGATCCTACTATGGAGGCCCTTCGATTCAAGCTCTTAGATATCAAACCCGAACCTTGCACCAAACAGAATCACAAGACAGTACTTCGAGTAGCGGCGTGGTGGTGGTGCTGCCAGACAGGACCACTCAGAGCGGAAATCATGATTGCCCTAAACCCTAAACCCTAAGCCCTAAACCCAGTGTGCGGAATCTCAGAAGCTTCTGCCAAGCAACGGATCCAAGATGGAGGTCTTTCACCTTCGTGACGCACACCAGCATAAACACATATGTAAATACAAAACCAAAGAAGGAATAAATGTATGTGTATATATATACAGGGGTATACTCGATAAGGGTATGTATAACATACAATGATCAATGTCAAGAAAGGTAAAATATTGTGGGGGCCAGAGCAAAACCTAGCTACACATTTTATTTGTGTGTCTAAAATGATTCCAGCTCTCTATCGCTTGCGCACGAGGAGCAAGTCATGAGCATGTATACATCGATCTGCTCACAGTATTCCCAGTGGTCAGAGAACCGATGCCCTATCTGATTCGAGACAAACGCCTTTGAAACGCAGCGGGCATCCCACCCCCCCCTTCCCTTGCCAGCCCCGTATACGCTTCCACGTGGTGTGGTGGGTACGTAGGGGTTCGAGGGTTTGAGGCTTCAGGCTTTGAGGGTCGGCACGCCTAAAAAGCAAAGAAGATGCTCCCGATTACAAGTATGGCCCCATCCCGGCAGCAGCCGAAACTTTTGCAACAAAAGCGATGACAGGATGGCGAACCTGGGGGGGGTATCTGGGGGTTGCCCTGGAGGGCGGGGTGGGGGGGGGGGGGGGGGGGGGGTTAGGGTTTAGGGTTTAGGGTTTAGGGTTTAGGGTTTAGGGTTTAGGGTTTAGGGTTTAGGGTTTATTGTTTAGGGTTTAGGGTTTAGGGTTTAGGGTTTAGGGGGGGGGGCTAGGGCCAGCTGCTCCAACTTGCTGCGACGAACGCTCGGCGGTTTCTAAAGTTCCGCTCAGGGCCTGGCACCATATTCCCGAAAGGCACCTTGCAGCGACCAGAGGTCCTTGCCAGTGAGCCACAGAGGAAAGGAACCACCCTAAACCCTAAACCCTAAACCCTAAACCCTAAACCCTAAACCCTAAACCCTAAACCCTAAACCCTAAACCCTAAACCCTAAACCCTAAAGGGCACGTTCATGAGGCTGAAAGTGCACATGGCTGCTGAAGTTTGCACTTTGAAATTCTCTACAACGCGTCCTTGCAGCATGAATTATGTGAAAAGGATGAAGAATGTATAAAGACCCTAAACCCTAAACCCTAAACCCTAAACCCTAAACCCTAAACCCTAAACCCTGTAGGCGTCGTGATCATCTTCGCATGTCTCTACGTCTCCCAGGAGGATTCAGGGGCATCCTATGGCCGCTACGGCTGTTCCAGCTGCCCTGTGTTAAGGGCTACTTGGAGGTCTCATGGTACTTTTTCACAAAATATAACTGTACTTATAACCCACTTATAAGCCCCTTAAGTGCCCCAATATGGTCATAAGTACCATGAACCTCCAAGTAACGGATTAAACCCTAAACCCTAAACCCTAAACCCTAAACCCTAAACCAGTAGCGACTCTGCCACCAAGGCTCACATGGGCTTTACGAATATAGGGGACCCCTGAAATAGACCCCACACAGTAGGATCCTTCATGATAAGGACCCAAATAAGGTACCCCCCCCCCCAACCTAAACCCTAAACCCTAAACCCTAAACCCTAAACCCTAAACCCTAAACCCTAAACCCTAAACCCTAAACCCTAAACCCTAAACCCTAACCCTAAACCCTAAACCCTAAACCCAATTTCTTCAACGTGCCGAAGCCCAGTATGCGGCCATGCAGCCAGGGCCGGCAATGGATGCAAGACACGTGGCTGCGGCATGGCATACACCTCCTAACCCGAGGGCTCCAAGTATACAAGTGGGGTCGAAAGTCTGTAAACAATACCTTAGGGTTTAGGGTTTAGGGTTTAGGGTTCAGGATTTAGGGTTTAGGATTTAGGGGCCTACTTTGGGCGCTTTGGAGCCTTAGGGTAAGAAGGCTCCTCGGGTTTGGGTTTTAAGGTGTAGGGTTGAGGGCACCTTAAGCCGATACAAAGCCCCGGTAGGTTTGAGTAGAGCCGGAGCAGGTGAACACGGAATGTAGGGGCATTGTGAGGCTTGATCGCTTTATGGGAACTTTCTATATGACTTCTTATTGCACCCAAGTTTACTTGCACATGCTACAATGCACATCGCGTAGAGTTAACCAGTGGAGCACGCAGAGTGTTGTGTTGATGAGTGTGACACCATGGTGTAGAAAAGCCTGACAAAGGCCCCACACTTCATACCTCGGCCTGCTGAAACTGCTCAAGCCAAGAATGGCTAAGTCAGCAGCAGCCACGACAAGTGTTTGCTCGCTGCGCGTGCCACCGATGTCAGTACAGACTCTTTTGCAACTTTGTAACGGGCACCCAGGTACAGTACCCCAAAGGCTTGCGACACTGAAGCAAAACACCATGGTCATCATGAACATCAAGGAATGCAACGCCATGGCCCGGGAAGGCAAGGAAGTGCAATGAAATCCCTCGACGAGTTTACCACTTCGACCTTGGCCCCAAAGTCTCGGAAGCAATCACTTCCACGAGTATACTGTAGCTCCAGTTGTGCCCCAGGACTCTGTGACCTTGCTGATTGTTCCTCAGGACGTTCTACGGGGCCCCAGATGTCACAGTCCCCAGCCCGAACACGACGACCAGATTTTACGCCTAGCAGGTTCAAGCAGCTGGAGTCTTCTGTACACTGTTGTCCCAGTGCCCCCAAAGGAATCTACGATCGAGTTGTAGGGCTTTCGGCTTCACATTAAATAGGGTTTAGGGTTTAGGGTTTAGGATTTAGGGTGTGGACTGAACTTGCGGTAACATACATCTGCCACAGCACAGCAGTCTCCGAGAGCCTTACTCCAACTAAGGGATCGTCAGGAATGGACCCGAAGCTGTCAAAAGGATCCTAATGATAAGTGGGATGAATATATATATATATATGTATATATGTATATATGTATGTATGTAAAAACACATACATGACATATAGATAGAGAGAGAGAGATATTGCTTGATGTAAATATGGGCTATAAGGCTCTCTGGGATTCTGCTAGCACCTTTAAGTTCCATCCGCCTCGCCACATTGCCACGAAGCGTGTCCTGACGTGATTGCTCATCGGTGCAGCGTTCGCAACTACGCGCTTCTTCGTGGGAGCCCAGCTCCTTAAGGAGCATGACCCAATTCCTCAAGGAACATGGAGTAGGCCCTGAACCCCAACCCCTCAACAAGGTCTCTTCCTCCCTAAACCCTAAACCCTAAACCCTAGACCCTAAACCCTAAACCCTTAACCCTAAACCCTAAACCCTAAACCCTAAACCGTAGCTTCTCATGCCCCAAGTGAGGGTCATGGAGCTTGCCTTGTTCTTCAAGTCAGTGGCTGAAACACTTCGGCCTCAAAGGCAGGAGGCACTAACCTCCTTTGCTTGAGATGCAAGGGTTTAGGGTTTAGGGTTTCGGGTGTAGGGTTTAGGGTTTGCGAGAATAAGGGGCCCCTGATATAGATCCCCGAATAGTAGGATTCCCTTGTAAGAGAAACCCCAAGAAGGTACCCTCGTTTCGGAAACCCAAAATTTTTTTACGTCGCATTAGGATCCATGTTGCAGTTGAAGGATGAAATTAAGGAGCGGCCCCGTGTCAGCGCAGGCCCAAGAACGCAACAACGCGCAGAACTGGAAGAATTTGCATGCTCACTGCTTGCATTGCCAGAGAACGTGACGGAGAGAGCAGCATGGAAGAAACGTGACATGTATAAACCTTGCTTAGAGGTCCATGGGAAGTGATAAGAAAGGTTATAAGTGCCCTACATTGGGTTTTTAAAGCATGGCTACCACAATGATAACCCTACTTCTGCTACCCATGAACCTCCAAGTACAAGCTGAAGCTGGGCCATCTGCTTTAGACTCCACTCCCAAGGAAGGCCCCGACACGCATGCAATCAAACAAACATGCGAAGCAAAACGACTCGCAAGCAACCAATCCGTCAAACAAACACACACACACAAATACGCAAAGTTCACTTCATCCGCTGCGATTACTCTAGCGATCTGCATCAAGAGCTTCAGATGCACTCTTGAAACCGTCAACCAAAGGATCCTCTTCAAGCTCACCACTGGAGGACCATGAGTCCTCAAACCCTAAACCCTAAACCCTAAACCCTGAATCTTCAACCCTAAACCCTGATCCCAACCTTAAACTCTGAACCAATCTTGGCCCAAGTGGCTGTGCAAAGTACCGTGACAGCGAGGCCAAAGACGATGCAAAAATAGTCGCCCAGCTCCTGTCAACGTTGATGCTCTTGCTTGCTTGAGGCTTAAAGGCTTGAGGTTGTTTAAAGGGTTTAGGGTTTTAGGGTTCAGGGGATGTTAGTCCAGGCAAGCAAAAATGAAAGCTTCACCCGGTGACAGTACAGTGGCTGTGGTGGGAAGCATAGCCGAATGATGCCACGCACCTTCTAAGACAATGCGTCGCAGCAGACACTTGCTAGTTCCGGTCCTGCAGACGGTCCCCTTCCTGGCTGGCCTCGGACGCAGCAACGCCCTGCTGCTGATGTGAGCTCTGCGGCTGTATCGAGGGAGTTTCTCTTTGAGACATGCAAGGGTACATGTGGTCTCGAATATGGCTCAGTTGGACGTTGCTTCGATTACAACCAGCAATCGACACAAAAGTGCAAATTAACACCAGAGCCAGTCCAACACGCACAACACAAATGTCGGATGCATCTGCCACCTGCACCAATCCACTGACATGCCGACATACTTCTCACTCAAGCTCCCAGTTGAGGCAAGTAGCAACAAGGCGCAGGTGTATGGCAGCCGGGTAGATCAGCGCCAGCGGCACGCAAGCCACCTCTTGTCAGAGGCTACAAGCAAAGGGCACCAGCTGAATCCTGTGTTCCTCCCCTTCCCTGCACGTTTATTCCTCTTGGACGGCACGAACTGGTCTTCAGGTCTCCACACACACCCCCGCCCGTTCCAAGAAGTCAGCCCCTGTCCTACATCTCCAACACAAGAAGCCCAAGCCCTAAACTCCTCACTTTCTGCCTAAACTCTCCTGCGCATGACGCAACACCAAAAGAAGGAGACGCCATGAAAGCCCTCACCCGCAAGGCATGCAAATGCGAGGTTGCCGGGTTGCAGCTTGCGGTTGTAGCCCGGACCCTCATCTCCTAGACACTGACACAAACTTATAAACCCTAAACCCCAAACCCTATACTTCAGGGTTGAGGGCCCTGGGTTTAGGTTGAGCTAGGGCCTAGCCCTATACTTCCAGGGACCAACTTCTTGTGTCTTTCGGTCCTTCAGGGCTCTAGTTACCAAATTCTAGGTCCCGGGTTACTACATCAAGGGGTGAGTGTATAATATAAAATAAAATACAAGGACCGACAACTTGCTCCTGCGTGTATGTATATGTTCCCTTGAGCTTCATATGAGCTGAAAACACCAAGGAAAAACTACAGCTTGGGGGGCACAAGAACTATGTCCCTGGGATTCCTGTCTCCTTCACTGGAAGGGCCCGTCGCGAGCACTTGGTGTCTATACCCGACAGTTGCCAGAAAGATGCTCTGAACCCTAAACCCTAAACCCTAAACCCTAAATCCTAAACCCTAAACCCTAAACCCTGTCCATCCCTCCCGCACTCCAGATGGTAAGGCACCGGCAGCTCCCACTAGCGACAGAAAAGCGTCCAGATGTCGTCCGCCTCGCTTCGCTTACCGGTACTTGCCAGCGCGGAATCAAGGAACAAACCCTAAACCCTAAACCCTAAACCCTATACTGGGGATGCATTTTTTCTCCACTTCCTACTAAGAACCCTTCAGGCTTGTCACTCAAAGCACGCCCGAGGGGCCGTAGCGAGCCAATGCCGCGCAAACAGCCAGCAGCACAGCTCGGAAGATGTTCACGCCTCAGAGGTTAGGGTTTAGGGTTTAGGGTTTAGGGTTTGGGGTTTAGGGTTTAGGGTTTAGAGTTTAGGGTTTAGGGTTTAGGGTTTAGGATTTAGGCTTAGGGTTTAGGGGTTAGGGGTTTAGGGGTTAGCGTTGGGCTCGGGGTGTTTTAACGAGCTTGCCCGGAATCCTAAACCCTGAACAAAGCCGAATAAAATCTAAACACCTTTTTTGATCAAAACCTGTATGTTTTTCACTATTTTTCATTAACAAATCTGAGCCTTGAACGCTATAGAAACACTAGCATGGGTTAAGCTGACCGAGGCAACGCCGGTCATGAGCCTGTTGACGAGGAAGAGCGAAACGATCTTCGAGGGGTACTTGATCTTATTCCCCTGTATAATCCCTATATATATATATATATGTATATATGCCACAAGACCTAAGTAGGCCCCTAAAAAACCTTTAAGGTCCCTTATAAGGGTCCCACCTTTAGTCCCTTGAGATCTCTGACCCGTGCGCATCAAGCATAGCTCTTCGGCTACTCCACGATTTGGGGGGGGAGACGAAAATGGGGGAATCCCTAATACAGACCGCCAAATTGTAAGATCCCCTTCTAATCAAGACCCGAATAAGGTACCCCTCTTTGCGGGAACCCCCCCCCCCATATGTAGGAGTGTATAGTTGTTGATAAGTAGCTACGAAGTGCAACAGTTCCTTTAGTAGAATACTTATGGAAATATGATCAGCACATGCGCACGTGTTTCATAACAAGCTAGTCAGGGTTGCTACTATTCCCCAGAAGAATTCTTAAAGAACACAAAATGCAATCCCTATTTTACCGGCACAAGGAAGAAGATTTTTTGGGGGTCCTTAAGCCATCAGTAGGTTACGGTTTGCGGCATCCTGCAGACAAGACTTCCTGAACAAAAAAAGGAGTGACTTTGGCAAAGCTGCCACTGAAGGCGCTGCTTTGGAACTCATCGTTTTACACGTCGCTGCGGCTTTGGGTTTAGGGTTTAGGGCTTAGGGCTTACTGTAGGGTTTAGGGTTTAGGGTTTAGGGTTTAGGGTTTAGGGTTTAGGGTTTAGGGTTTAGGGTTTAGGGCATAGGGCTTAGGGTTTTGTAAGACAGCTCCAGCCATGGGCCGAGTTCCCCGACGCAGATGGCTGGAAACTAGCCCGGCAGTGAAACGGGGCCTCCCAAAAGAGGCAGCAAGAAAAGACCACCAACAAGGGTTTAGGGTTTAGGGTTTAGGGTTTAGGGTTTAGGGTTTAGGGTTTAGGGTTTAGGGTTTAGGGTTTAGGGTTTGAGGTGATCAACTCCGCCCTCAGCTCCTAAACCCCGCCACGCTGACTCAGGTGTCTAAGGAGGGTTCCGGCTCAGACATGGGTTCCTCTCGAGGCTCCTTAACAGGGTTTAGGGTTTATACGATTTGCTTAAGAACCCCAAAAGAATAAAAAAAACATCATCATCCCTATACTACCCTTATAAGGAATTATATTTTTCTGGGGGTTCTGAAGCAATTGCTTGTTAACAAGACCTACCCAAAATACTCCGGAAATCTCCGAAACAACCATAAGGGTATTTCCCACAATAGGCTTTACTACCCCAAATAGAATAGAATCCCCTTAAAGGCACCCCCCAAAAAGGGACCCCAAAGCCTAAACCCTAAACCCTAAACCCTAAACCCTAAGCCCTAAGCCCTAAGCCCTAAACCCTAAACCCTAAACCCTAAACCCTAAACCCTAAGCCCTAAGCCCTAAGCCCTAAGCCCTAAGCCCTAAACCCTAAACTCAAGCACTCAGGAACCTCGCCAAGCCCCGCTCCAGCAGATCGAAGGTCGGCAGTGCCAGCCTGAAACTAGTTCATGGTTGGAAACCCTAAACCCTAAACCCTAAACCCTAAACCCTAACCCTAAACCCTAAACCCTAAACCGCTCAACTCATTATTAGGTTTGAGTACCCTTAAAAATGTAGAATGTTACCCGACTATGACCAAAGAAAGGCCCGGGAGGCATGATAACAACCGGGGGTTGGGCCTGGGGGGGGGGGGGGGGGCAGGGGGTGGTTTAGGGTTTGCAGGGTTTAGGGTTTGTAGGGTTTAGGGTTTAGGGTTTTGGGTTTTGGGTTCCTAGCGGGACCCTGAGTATTTGTTCCTCTCAGAGCCGATGCCTCATACCCTAAACCCTGAACCCTATAAACCCTTAAAACCCTATGAACCCCATAAGCCCTATAAAAAACCCTGCATAAACCCTACGTAAACCCTGTATACACCCTCTCAACCCTTTCAACCCTCTAAACAAACCCTAAACCCTAAACCCTATAAACCCCCAACCCCAAACCCGGAACCCCAAACTCTAAACCCTAAACCCTAGCGCAGCTTCTCAAAGCCCTGGGGGGAGATCCCGGGCGGCCGGCAGAGGAACGAGAGCAAGCGAAGCGATGGCGAAGGCTACTGGAACCTGAAGACGGGTGTGGGGAGAGTTTAGGGTTTAGGGTTTAGGGTTTAGGGTTTAGGGTTTAGGGTTTAGGGTTTAGGGCTTAAAACACTTAGGGATTAGGTTGGTGACGGAGGAAGTGTTTTGAAGCATTGCTCCAAGCAGATCGTGCCGAGTCAAGTAAGAAAAACGGATACATAGAATGCAAATGAAAGGGATTCTGGGACGGTGGGGTGATACCAAACACATGGTGATGTAAAGGGGCCTCGCGGACCGCCGGCCCAATCAACCGGGTTGAGGGGCTTCCTTCACAGAGACTTGATTTGGTGTCTGTGCGTGAGGGGTACCCCAGATTCGGCAAAAAGTTGCCGATTCCTAAACTCTAAAACCCTAAATGCTCTTGATGGCAGGGGTCTGTGAGGGTCCCAAGGGTCTCAGCCGTCCAGGGCGGGTTGGAGTGTGAGTTTCAGGGCGCAGGGTTCTGGCAAGGGGATTCCTGAGGGAAGGTCGAGAAGGTTTCGGGTTTCGGGCACTCTTAGAAGCCCCATGCGATACTCTGTTGGGCTTAGGCGTGTGGCTGATCATGGCCTGCGCTGAAGCCGGGCTCGTAGGCAGAGGAACGGCTTAGGGCTTCCAGACTCCTAGGGCTGTAGGACTGTCAAGCCTGAACCCAACACCCTAAACGCTCATCCCTGTTCCCCCTCAACCCTAAACCCTAAACCCTAAACCCTAAACCCTAAACCCTAAACTAGCCCAAACCCCGGTAGGGTTTAGGGGTCAGCCCTATGACCCTACCAGTGCCAACAGCTCGGCTCTCAGGTGCCGGCCCAAGTAGAAGCCAGCGAGTCCTGGAAAACAAGGGAGTATCGCAGCTCTTGAAAAGAGGGGTTTAGGGTTTAGGGTTTAGGGTTTAGGGTTTAGGGTGTAGCAGTGGTCAGCTGTACGCAATTGTGCGCAGACATGCCCACCCCAAGACCACCCAAACACTACTCACTGCGAACCAAACCGGAGCCAGCCCAAACCAAGCCGAAGCCATTCAAAATTCACACGTGACACATGTTTATCTGATGCCGCAGTCATGGCGGCAGAGGATACCCCTCCCCTTCAGGCTGTTGCGTAGGGGAAGGTCTGAACCGAAAGGCCCTCTCATGAAATTCCGGGCCGTGAAAGGTTTCCGATTGTTGAGGAGTGCCAAGGTCGCTTGAAAGGCAACTCCCTTGCAAAAGGAGCCGAGAACGTTTTTTACAGGTGAAGGACCGGGGTCGTGAGGTTTTGCGCAGGGGACGGTCTGGGCCGAAGGGCCCTATCATAGAAAATTTCAGGGCGTGAGCTGGTCTAGTTATCGATAAATTCGGGAACGGGTGTCGCGAGATCTTGCGCAGGGGACGGTCTGCGCTCAAGGGCCATCTCATAGAAAAATTTGCAGGGCTCTGCCTTTTGAGTTTGCTTTCAATTCGTCTTAGCTCCCAACCCCACGCCGGCCAAGGCAGCGACCAGGCAGCCAGAAGGAGGGCAGCAGGGTAGTGAGGGCCAGGGCCAGGACCAGGGCCAGACCAGGGCCAGGATCAGGGCCAGAGCCAGGGCCAGGGCCACGGACCAAGCTTGGCGACCCGTTCAGCTGCAGCCTAGCAGAGCCTGCCGTGGTCTCGCTGAGCGCTCGACTGCGCCCGCCTACCCCAACAGAGGTGAGAGGGGTGGCGGGCGGGTTTAGGGTTTAGGGTTTAGGGATTTGGGATTGGGGATTGGGGTTTGTGGTGTAGAGTACAATGTTTAGTTCAGGGGCTATCCCTTTTTGGGGTTCCCGTCATATCATGTCACGCTACGATCTGTGATTTTGGGTTTAGGCACCTCCCGTGGTTGTCTGAATTCATGGCATTCACGTCAAACATGTTTTGTTTGTTGGGAGGGGGTGGTTGGGGATGTAAGGACTTGCTTGTGAGAAGAATCTCAGGGTTTGGAGCGCACTTAAAGGTTCGCGGGCTGGGGCATGTTCAGCCTGGCGGGGGTGGGGAGGGGGGGGGGGGGGGGGGGGGGGGGGGGGGGGGGGGGGGGGGGGGGGCGCGGTCCTTGGCCAAATTCAAAGTCAAAATCGGCTGCACATCCACCCCATAGAGAAGGACATTCCTGCCACAAGGTTGTTTTGATGTTTGGAGTTTAGAATTACGTTTGGATCCTGTGTTGGGCTGTTGGGTGTAGGAGCTACTGTCAGAGGAGGTTCTGCTGCAAACCCTGCTTCAGAATCATCCCTCTAATTGAATAAGGCTCGAAGAAGCACTGGGAAGGAGGGGGAAGGACTTTCCCGGTGTTCTGCATCGTTCGGGACAACAAGATATCTAATGTTCCTTAAATGATAACCGGATCCCTTGTACAACTTCAGAAATATTCCCCGATCTTTAGGGATCTTCGGGTCTCGGGGAAATATCTCTCAACCAGAGCCATGAAATTCTGATCCCATAGCCCGCAACAGTCCCGGAGGCAAATGTGGCGAAGATCAAGATGACCTGATGCTTCAGCCAGACCAACAACGGGGCGACGTGACGTTGCTGCTATGCTGGTGACGGGTGTGCACAAAAGAAAAAATAGTGTCAGCAACCCTAAACCCTAAACCCTAAACCCTGAACCCTGAACCCTGAACCCTAAACCCTAAACCCTATAAACCCTAAACCCTAAACGCTAAACCCTAAACCCTACGTCTCTCTGAGGCTCCAGCCGCAATGATCGTCTTTGAGAGAATGCGATCGAAGCTCGCCTGCGCAGGGTCCCAATCCCTGAGCCCTAAGTTAACCAAAACAAGTAAAGGGTACCACTGGGCTACCAAGTAGGGGGCCTTAAGAATTAGAGTAGTTTCGGGTGATATTACATTATAAGTAACTCTTCCAACCCCTATATTATGTCTACCAATCGTTTAAGAACCCCCCAACAAATAATTCCTTACTACGGGCAATATAGGGATTACTATTTCTTCATTCTTTTGGGGCTCTTAAGCAAATAGCTAACTATGATTTGCCATTGTCTTCTCAACTGGGAACATATCTATGTCTATATGGCATATAATATAGGAATCATATAATGCACCAATATGTATATACATATATATGTATGTATACTATCATGTATGTGTATACGTATGTGTATGTGTACGTACATGTATGTAGATGTACGGGTACGAATCTGTATGCATCTGTAGATACGTGTGTTTGAATTATGCAGGTGTGCATGTTTGTCCATGAAAAACTACTGACTTGTGTATTTCTTCGTAGGTACGTAACTTTCAGAATATACCACCCAAGAACGAACTATATCGCCGAGCCTAACAGAGATTTAAGTTTAAGGAATACAACATAACCCTAAGGCTCCATGTACCCATATAGTAGATACCTAGGCCTTAAAGGGGTTCCTATAAGGGTACCTTAAGGCCTCGGTATCTACTACAAGGGTACATCGAGCCTTTGGGTAACTTATACAGGGATATGGCGGTCCCCAAACCCCAAAACCCGATGCGGGGCAGCCTTGTCCTTGTGCGACTCGTACATGGGAATGACCATGTTGATGCCCTGAACACATAGGGCATGGGGTTGTTTAGGGTTTAGGGTTTAGGGTTTAGTGTTTAGGGTTTAGGGTTTAGGTTGGGGGGCTCAGGGAACTTTATGGTTCGTCCAGCCGGCTCTAAAGTAGAAACAGAAGGGAAGACCTCAAGAGATCAGCAGCCAAAGGCCTCCAGGCACCCTGCTGCGTGGTCAAAGCTCCCAATGGAACGCGCTTACAGCAGGCTATTGCCATTGTCTGGGTAAGCCATGGAGCAGACACGACGATTAGGCCTCGAAAGTGAACACGGAGAAGCCGAGGAAGACGAGGCCGCGCGGCACAGGGCAAAAGAACGGAAGGTCCTGCAGGAGTTCTTCTTCGCGCGTGAACCATGCACTGACTGCCGTGCTCCAGTGGCTTCACTAAGTACCATGACTGCAAGAGCTACATGTCTGGAGCTTGCTTTTGGAGCGCTGCTTTCAACTGAGCTCAGAAGACCGGAGGTGTCATTGATTTCTGCGTGCTGCGCGGGCGAGCAGGTTAGTAGAACTTTCAGTAGACTGAGGGAACTGGCAGTAGACTGAGGGAGGACAGGGTGAGGTCAGGCGAGCTCTTTATCCGTACCCAGTCCGCAGACCTCTGCGACACCGGATGTGACCAGGCCGCCGGTAGCTGAGGCCGCTAGGAAAACAGTAGTGCTGAGCACCTCACAATGCAACGAGTGTCGGAAGCAAAAGGATCCTAATTCAGCCCCTCAGCTTGGCCCTGAGAGCCTAGGAAAAGGGAAACAACCTGCGTACCCTTAGCTCTCTTAAGGGAAGATGCAATCAAAAAAGGCACAATTCTGCCTTTCAAACGGTACATCGGGGCACTTCTGGCAAACCTCTGCCACCACACAGCGAATGCGACGCACTGAGGGCGTGGCGAGCGTGTTTCCGACCTGAGTCTGGCATGGATAGCACTTGGGAACTGCGAAGTTTGGGGTGTGGATGTTTGTAGGGGCTTTTGGGGCTATGGGGTTTTGAGGGTTCAGGCTTCAGAGTTTGGGAGTTTCAGGGATCAAGGGCGTTAGGGTTCAGAGATTTATCAGGGTTTGCGCGGCCTCTTATACGGGTCCATGAGGCACACCAAAGACCTCACTCCTCGCCGAAGCTGTCCCGACTGATTATCCTCCTCCTACACCCTCATTAAGCCCTAGACCACCCTACAACCCTAAACCCTAAACCCCAATCGATGTAAACCCCTGTGAGCTCTGTAAGCCTCAACCCTACAGCCCCCCTAAACTACATATACCCCCAAGTCCTAAGCCCTAAACCCCTCAACCCCAAATCCTACAGTAAACCCCAAACCCTAACCCTAAAAACCCCTCAACCGGAAACCCTAAGCCCTACAGCAAACCCTGAACCCTGAACCCTAAACCCTAAACCCTGAACCCTGAACCCTGAACCCTAAACCCTAAACCCCCCCCCCCCCCCGAGTGTCCGGGCAAAGTTGAAGGCGGTCAGCGATGCCAAGTCCCGATGCCAAGCCTTGCTGCGGGTAGTTGTCTGGTCTGGGTTTAGGGCTTTAGGGCTTTAGGGCTTAAGGGCTTAAGGGTTTAAGGGTTTAAGGGTTTAAGGGTTTAAGGGTTTAGGGTTTAGGGCGTTTAGGGTTTAGGGTTCAGGGTTTAGGGTGATAGGGTTTAGGCATATTTGCGAAGGTTTTGGGGCGCTTAGGGCTTTTAAGGGTGAAGGCGTTAGGGCAGATGAACCCTAAACCCCAAACGCGAAGATCCTGAACCAACAAACTTGCCCTAAACTGGCTGGCTCTTAGTAAGGAATGAGGGAATGTGGTACCCTATGTATATCTCTAAACCCTAAACCCTAAACCCTAAACCCTAAACCCTAAACCCTAAACCCTAAACCCTAAACCCTAAACCATATATAGGGCCCTAATTCCTTCATTCCCGGCTAAGAACCAGGGGCGTTAACTCAGCCAGGGAGCCACTGGAATGACCAGAAGCAGCTGGGCCCACGTCAGCCAGGCAGCCACATCCTCCTACCGCGCTTCGCTTGTATATGTTGTCCATAACCCTAAAGCCTAAATCCTGAACCCTAAACCCTGAACCCTAAACCCTAAACCCTAAACCCTAAACCCCAAACCCTAAACCTAAACTTAGGACCTAAACCCTAAGACCCAGGCTGGCCAAAAAACCCTAAACCCTAACCCCTAAACCCTAAACCCTAAACCCTAAACCCTAGCTTGCGAGGAGGATCTCTCTGAACAGCAAGGTTAAACAAGTCTTTTCCCAAACGAACCACCCATCACCACCCGTTCATCGTTTTCGATGGGATTGAAGGATTAACTAGATGCGCAGAAGCGTGTCCTTGTGGTACTGGTGAAGTATCGACTCTTGTGGAAGATACTGTCGGAACCTTACTGTGCCAGTTCAAAATGCTGAAATGACAAGCTGCGCTTTATCACCTGATGCAGACTTGCCCCTTCTCACCCGAGGCGGCCACAACCATTTCGTTGCATGCGCGCCGTTCTTTGCAAAGTAGATCATTTCCTGCAAGTTGCCCAGCTTGCGACGTTCCCGCACACGAGCCCAGACTGCATGTATGTAGGTAGCTCGGTGGCTTGTACGCAAGAAGCGGCTTCCCTAACAGAACCTCCGGACTCCCCGCAAGTAATCAAAGCAATCCGAACTCATTCCCTACAAGGGTCCATGTGTATTTAAATCGGATATACTGGAGGTTGCTCTACGGTGGCTGTAGGGCTCAAGTACATTCATGTACTGAACCACATGGAGCCTTAGAACCCCTAAAGCCCACGCCCCACGGTCGACTTTCAAGACGAGCGGCGGTAGCAATGAAGCCGAGTTGTGAGGCCTCGGTGACAAAGCCAAGGGGGCAACACTGCCACAGAACGAGAGGGACCGCATGGCCATTCGAGTTGCTTCTAAACCCATGTGTATACATATATGCTTGGTTGCTCTTTAACCCCCCCCCCCCAATGCAAGTTTAACTTTTAGCTCCCTGAATATGAAATTACAGGAACCCCAAAACTCATAAAGTGCTAAAGTTGTAGTAAAGTCCCACCTAGTATAGAGAGAGAGAGAGAGAGCGCGCACATGTCATATGCCATATGGATCTCAAAGCCCTGAGACGCAGCCGTACCAGCCATGAAACCACACCTTCCCCGAATGAAGGAAGTTCACACAACTGAGGTAGACACCACGATGGAGACCTGCTGCACTGTGTTGGAGACGGGTGGGGGGGGAGGGAGAGAGAGAGAGAGAGAGAGAGAGAGAGAGAGAGAGAGAGAGAGAGAGAGAGAGAGAGAGAGAGAGAGAGAGAAAGAGAGAGAGAGAGAGAGAGAGAAGCAAACCTCAGAGGGTTTGCGGCCTGGGCGGGTTTAGGGTTTTAGGGTTTGGGGTTTAGGGCCACCGGATCCTTGTTTCAGCATTCTTAACAGGCTTCGGACACTTCAGGAATTTGGAGGCCCTTGTGGAGAACAAGCCTTTGGGGCCCACCTCGAACTCTCCAGGCGGCCCTCTTTTGGGCATTTCAAACACGTGCCTGGCAATGCACTCAAGGTACTTCCACCCTTCTGCTGGGAAACCATCAACAGAACCCCAAACCCTAAACACCATAGCGGCAACCCCAATCCTGAACCCTGGCCCCTCAAGCCCTGAACCCTACAACCCTTAGCCTGCACAACCCTGACAAGCCTAAATGCCCTTAACCCTTAAGCCAAAAACCCAGAACCCTGACACCCCCCCCGGCCCCAAACAAAAACGAAGAACAAACACACATCCCGAAAAACCTCAACCTGCAGCCTAACAAGCCTGAATTCACCCCCCCCCCCCCACCCCCCCTCCGCCCAACAAAAGCCTCAAATCCCAAACCTAAAACCCTAAACCCCTCAACCCTCCGAAAAGCCCTCGAAACCAAAACACCTTCAGTCAAAAAACCATAAACCCTAAACCCCAAAACCTTCAGCCAAAACAACCTTACACCCACCTCGACGGCCAGGGCGCCCCCTCGGCCTAGCGCGCGCAGCGCCAAGAGCCCGAACGAGCCGCCGCCCGCCTGAGCCAAAGTTTAGGGTTTAGGGTTTGGGGTTAGGGTTTCGGATTTGGAAGAAGCAGTCTTGGGCTTCGAAAAGAACAAAGATGCGCGCCAAGGGTCAGGCCTCCGGGGTTTTATAGATTTCGAGGCTACAGGGTGTAAAAATAAGCATCTTCTCAAAAACTTGTGGGTCACACCTACATATGAACCGGACATTGCGATTCTCATGCGCACGGGTATCAGGAGGGGTGCAAGTGGCCCATGTGTCCATGTTCCCTTACTTGGAGGTTCATGGCACTGAATAACCCAACTATATCTGTACTTATAACCCAACTATAACCAGATCACGGCTCGAAGGGCTTGTAAGTGGGGTTATCAGTACAGCTAGAATTGGGTTCTAAGTACCATGAACCTACAAGTACTCAGGCTTGTTAAGGCCGTAGTTTGCCCTGAGGCTCCTTCTTGGGGTGTAGAGGTTTGGGAAGGGGGGGGGGGGGGAAGGGGGGGGGGGGTGGGGGGAGGGGGGGGAGGGGGGGGGGGGTGGGAGGGTGGGGGGGGGGGGGGCGGTGGGGAGTGGGTGGGGGATGGGGGAGGGGGGGGGTGGGGGGGGTGGGGGGGGGGGGTGGGGGGGGGGTGGGGGGGGGGGGGGGGGGGGGTGGGGGGGGTTTAGGGTTTACCGTTCAGGGTTTAGGGTTTTACGGCTTCAAAGGCATGTCTGTTCTCTTGCCTGGCGGTAGGCGGCAAGTAGCTTCCGCATGCACCAGAGTTCCAGCAACCTTCCACAGCGATCAGAGGCACCCACTCTGCAGAGGAGTCTCGAGCCATTCATTCACTGCATGATGCGGTAGAGTCGCTAAGTGAGGCCCTTTGGTTAGGGAATCCCGTTGAGCCTCATATTGGGGTGCGTAGCCTGGCAAAAGCAAAATCTGAGACAATTGCCCATGTCTATCCTCCAGCAAGATTCCTGTCCCAGCGTACTTTATGACAGAATTTCTCCCTCCAGTCCCCAATCTTGGCCAGTAACGAAAGCTTCCTCTACTCTTCCTCATCAGAATGACAGACGCGAGGGTTGTTCTACATTCCGGGGAGACCTATATCTCACAGATTGCATGGCATTATTCAATGTACACAAAAACCTAAACTCTAAACCCTAATAAACTCTAAACCTTAATAAACTCTAAACCCTAATAAACTCTAAACCCTAATAAACTCGAAACCCTAATAAACTCGAAACCCTAAGCCCTATACCCTAAAGCAGAATTAGCAGGTGTAGCCACGGGGCCCCATGAAGCAGAAGAGCAGGTTGCCAGACCTGCAAAAGCACCGTGCTAAGGATTCAGGGCTGAGGCCTTTCTGGTCAAACCCTAAACCCTAAACCCTAAACCCTAAACCCTAAACCCTTAACCCTAAACCCTGAACCCTAAACCCTAAACCCTAAACCCTGCGTTGATTTGGAGCTTGTGTTGCATGGCATCTTTGCATTTCTGCAACTCTGAGTCCATGGCACAAGCCCAGCTTGCAGAAACTCGCCAGGAGCCACCAGCAACGTGCCGCCGAGGAAGGACCTTAAGCTTAGGGTTTAGGGTTTAGGGCTTAGGGTTTAGGGTTTAGGGTTTACCCGCAGAAGGACCTTGAGCAAAGGTGCACGCGATAGGGTAATATGGGGGCCTCAAGAATTAGAATATGGTTTTGGGTGGTTACTATAGTAAAATTACAAAGGGACCATCAGGGAATACCATTAGTAAGTATTCCGACCCCTGCATTGCGCACACCAGCACATCCTTAGACTCAGGCTTCAAGATCACGAGCACCGTGGCCAAGTCCGACGATTGCCGCCTGGCATTGGGGGGGGGGGGGGGGGGGGGGGGGCAAGGGTAGTATAGGGGCCTGAATAATCAGAATACCGTTTTGGGGTCTTCTTATGGTATAATTACAAAGGGACCGAAAGTGAATCTGATTAGTAATTATTCCGACCCCTATAGTAGCTCGGGAGATTTCTGTAGCCTGGAGCTACGGGTAAATCTTTATCGCTGCCAAAAAATATATCTACATATAACTAGGTTCAGGGTTTAGGTTTTAGGGTTTAGGGATAGATTGTGCCTGCACAGTACTGAACAGCAAGAATCAGTGCTTGCGAATCGCCACAGATGCCAGCGTGAGCTGGCAGGTTCGTCGCCATCAACTCCATCAACTCGAAAGAACCCAGAACCTTTGAGGCATAAACCTACCATACAAGCGAAACACACCCGATGAGTGAGGTATGTTCCTTCCTTTTTTTGTCAAAAGGTATGGGACATGTAGGCTATACTGTATAGGCAAACACGAAACTCCCTGAACCATAAAGTCTAAACCCTAAACCCTAACCCAAGCAGCACGCGTGACAATCCACCGGCCTTGCTCGGGATGGGGATGCGGAAGGCGAAATCGCTGGCGTTATGGGCGTCGCATGCCCACCGACATCGGGCCTCGAGGGGTCTTCAGGAGGGTTTAGGGTTTAGGGTCTAGGATTAAGGGTTTAGGGTTTAGGGTGTAGGGTTTAGGGAGAACATGGGGTTGTCACAAGTGTTGGGAAAGGCGGAGAAGGCCACCGAGGGCCCTGGCTCGGAGGAAGTGGGGGCGTTGAAGAGCTCTGTCTCCGCCTGGGCCATTCGCCAGTAGTGCTCCTGCAGGAGAGTTCTTGGGGTTTAGGGTTTAGGGTTTAGGGTTTAGGGTTAGGGTACCCTGGACCTTCAGGTTGTACCTTGGGTTTTGGGGACGGTGCATTGCAAGGGCCATATTCGGAGCCTATTAAGGGGAACCTTTAGGGGGTACAACCTGAGGGGTACGTGTCTGAATCCCTGGCCCTTGAAGAGTTGATGTGCAGGGCGACAGGTAAACATATAACTATTCAGGTGGCGAGATTTACAGGTCATGCTCTCGACTCAAGGCAATGATCCATCCTGGCAACAGACTACACCATCGGAAAGGCTCTTCTGGTGCGCTATGCCCTGCACACAAACCTGGGGAACTGCCTAAAGCCTAAACCCTAAACCCCTTGCTGCTGGAGGGTCCCGGCCTGGATGTCGAAAGACACATCCAGAACGAACTCAACAAGCTGCGCTTGACAGCTGATCTCTGCCCGTGGGAAATCCTCCAGGCGATGCGCGCCCATCGAGCTTAGCCGTTCTGAGTAGGGAAGGTTCCCCAAAAAAAACCCTCAGAAAAAGGGGTCACTTAGAGGGGATGTAAGGTACCAAGTTCCATATAATCCCCCACTAAGAACTCGTAAGCTCAAAGGAGTCTCGGCATGTTTTCTTCGGAAGAATCATGGCTCCAAAAACAAGGGACCAAACTGTAAAGCAAGGGGGAAAACCCTAAACCCCAAACCCTAGAACCTAAACCCTGAAGCCCAAACAACCCTATAAGACCAAAAGGTCCTAGGGAGTTTGGGCGTCCTTCCCTTGTATCGATGTTCGGACACCACTTTCAAGGTTTGGGAGCTTAGGGTTTAAGGAAGAGGGCTCCATGAATGAAAACCTAAACCTAAACCCTTATAAACCCTAAAGCCTAAACCCTTAACCCTCAAGGTCCCGAGGGCTTCGAGAGGCTTGGGCTCATTTTTGGGAAGACAGGGCGGCGCGCTGGCTTGTCGTGCTTACTGGAACCTGGCCTCAAGAGTCTCAGAATATGGGTAATTCTTTAAATCGGGGTCCGTTTTGAAGATCCTAAAGCCTACAAACCCCAAAACCCCACAAGCCCCTAAACTCTGCAACGCCAAAAACCCCTAAAGCCCTACAGCCCCTCCCTGAACGCTGAACTCTCTCAACCCTAAACCCTAAACCCACCCAAGTTGCCTGATCTCCCAGAAAGTGCCGACGAAACTGTTCCGGTGACGCAGCGCGCGCCGGGAAGAAGGCCGCGGGCACCTGAGACTGCTTCGGGGTCAGGGCCCCAGGTTTTAGGGTTTGGGGTTTAGGGTTTAGGGTTTGGGGTTTCGGGTTTAGGGTTTAGGGTTTAGGCCCCAGGTTTTAGGGTTTGGGGTCCAGGGTTTAGGGTTTAATTCGCGTTTAGGGTTCAGGGGGTTCCGAAACCAGTGGTAGCCTTTTCATGGGGATTCCGACAATGAGGTTTAGCATTTTTGCCCCCCCCTTTTTAGTGGGAGAATCCCATATGGTTAGTATAATTTCTCTTCATGGGTTTCAGAGAACCCTCTTCAGGTTTTGGGTTCAGGGCTTAGAGTTATGTTGTTTCAGAACGTTGCAATGTCAACCTAGTAAAGGGGGCTGGCTGGGCTTGCTTCGCGGTGTAACCCCCCCCCCCCCCCCCCCCCCCCCACAGCAACCTCGTGCCCTCCAACTTGAGAGCCATATTGTTGACACGCATTGGATAGGGTTTGGGGTTTGGGGTTTGGGGTTTGGGGTTCGGGGTTCGGGGTTCGGGGTTTAGGGTTTAGGGTTTAGGGTTTGGGTTTAGGGTAGCCTGTCAGGGCCTTGTCACTGTCCGAGGACGTCGAATCTGCAATGCGTAGGTCAAGACCTTTTTTTGGGGGACAAGATGAACCCCCAAAAGGGGATCACAAAGCCTAAACGACCAGAATTCGTCTTAAGGTAGACGGACCCTAAACCCTAAACCCTACACCCTAAAGCCTAAAGCCTAAACCCTAAACCCTAAATCCTAAGCCCTAAGCCCTAAGCCGAAGCCCCTCCCCTCGCTGGCCTCACTGCTGGAACCTGCAGCATACAGGTAGTCGGTGGGGTCCTGGGCGCGAGGCAGAGGCTGGTGCTTGGACGGTCTTACTTCAAGAGCTCAAGGTTTGTGTTTGAAGAGGTTTAGGGTTTAGGGTTTAGGGTTTAGGGTTTAGGGTTTAGGGTTTAGGGTTTAGGGTTTAGGGTTTAGGGCGACTCCTAGCCGGTGGGCTCCCCGAACTTTCAGGCTCAAGAAGTTCGCAGGTCACCCGTGTGCCGAAGCTGAGGGCCCTGCGGAGGCATTGGCTTTGAGGGCTCTCCGAGAAGGCGTAGCGTAGGCAAGAGGTCCGGTACTTCCTGCAGAATATAGGGGCCTTTATCATGAGAGTAGGGTTTCCGAGGTTTTTATGGTATGTTTGTATAGGCATATAGGGACCATAAGGTTGTACTAGTAGCAGTACCGACCTGAAAATTAGTTGGTTCCGTGAGGGACAGCAGAATCTGGGGGTTTTCGATATTAGGGGTGCCTTCTTGGGTCCTTTTATTTCGGGATTTCTGAAATTTTGGGTCTACATATTGAGGGCGTACTATCGTTCAGCCCCCATCTTGCAAGAAACTCAGCAAGTCTCGAAACAAATGCGATATGACCGCTGAGCACCAAGAAGACAATCATGGTTGGACACACAATGGCCAGGCCAAGCAGCACGTGCTTTCCACTTAGGGCTTAGGGCTTAGGGCTTAGGGCTTAGGGGTTTAGGGTTTAGGGTTAAGGGTTTAGGCGGGTTTAGGGTTCACGGTCCGAAGCTCAAACCCCTGAAGCACCCTCGCCGCTGCCATTGCACCAACCACACACTACGAAGATGTGTAACATAGGGTTTAGGGTTTAGGGTTTAGGGTTTTTTTTTAAGGGTTTAGGGCATCTGCACCTTTCCATGGTCAATGGTACGAGCCCGTGCCACCCCCAGCCTGGAACACATCCTAAGTCCCAAGAGCCCTCACAAGCGCACAAATGACCAAACCCTGAAGTCTAGAATCTGCGCAGGGTCTCGGGCCTTGTGGAAACAATGGAGGTTTCCGACATTCCGACATTGGGGGGGTACCTTATTGGGGTCCTTGTTATAAGGGGATCCTACTATTTTGGGGACCATCTTAGGGTTTAGGGTTTAGGGTTTAGGGTCAGGGTTCAGCGTTCAGGGTTCAGGGTTCAGGGTTCAGGGTTCAGGCTTCAGGGTTCAGGGTTCAGGGTTTAGGGTTTAGGGTTAGGGGTCCTCTTTTGTCCGCACACTTCCCAAAATGCTCAGCTGCCCGGCCTGAGACCGTCACTCGCCCCTGCGAGCCCAGGGTGGAAGCCCCGGGCCTGCCACAGATTAGGGTTTAGGGTTTAGGGTTTAGGGTTTAGGGTTTAGGGTTTAGGGTTTCGGGTTTCGGGTTTAGGGTGACTCTAGGATGGCCCTTAAAACCCTCTGAAAATATTCCTGAATAGGATTCCCAATGAGGGAAAAAAATGACATGTCTAAGGGCCTACCTAGTACCCCAGAAGTTTTCTGCTTGGAGCTTCATGGGTAGCTATAAGAAGGGTTTCCGTGGAGAAGTTGTTCCTACCAGTACGCGAAGTTTCCGCGAGCCAGGCGCCCTAATGTTACTAAACCCCCAGTCAAGCTTCAAAAGCCCCTGGTTTTTAGTAGGGAATGAGGGAATTCGGGCCATATATGTATATATGTATATATATTTTTTTTTATTTATTAATTAATTTACAGACATACCTTTAAGGGAGTATATAAGGTACCTCATACCCTGACTCCCTCCTAAAGCCGCAAGGCTGAGCCGGCTGCGTGAGGGGCTGGGCCGTAAGTCGGCATGACACACAAGTTCTCTTTGCCAGGATCTTGTCTTAACACTCCAACCTCCCTTGATTTTTTCATGAACTAAAATACCAACATTGATTCTACCATCATGTGCAGAAAACAGACGGCGTGGCTGCAGTGCTATAGGACAACACCCCGACACCCACGGCCAACCAAGGCGCTTGCCGAAGCTGAGCCCCAAGAAGGATCACCGGAAGCCGGGAACAGCAACAATGTCCCCAAGGAAGGTTGGGAACAGCAGGGTTGGTGGAATTGTTGCAGGGCTTGCCTACGCATCCACAGTACGCTCCGGAAGACAGCGCCCAGGGAGTGGCCACTACGGGGCGTGGCAGGCGCTACAAGACAAAACGAGGGACGCTGAGGAACAGTCCGCAGCACAAGAGCACGGAGGGCTGACCTCAAGGTAAGCTACAAAGACCAGGGTAGAGCAACGCCCAGGTGAGAGACTGCCGGAAGAAACCCGCAGCCAGCAAAGGCGCTTGCCGAAGCTGAACCCCAAGGAGCACCACCGGAAGCCGAGGCCATGTGGCAGGTGCGAATGCTGACCCCAAGGCTGGCACCGAACAGCAGGAAGGGTTTGGTGGAACCGCTGCAGCTTTGAGAGATACGAAAAAGCAGCGGCACTGACAGAGCGCCTGCACATCCACAGTACGCTCCGAAGACAGCGCACAGGGAGTGGCCACTACGGGGCGTGGCAGGAGCTACAAAACAAACGAGGGACGCTGGCTGAGGAACAGTCCGCAGGTTCCACAAAGGAACTGGGGGCCGCAGTGCCACAAAGGATCATGGGGAATCCTGAATAAGTTCTCGAAACTTGTGATTACAGAAGACCTCTCCACAAAAGCGAGCGCAACATGATCCATGACTCCGAAGCCGAGCCGCTTCCTCAGATTCTCCAGCAATGGGTCGCTGTGTGCATCGTCAAGCCTGCTGGAGCCTGCCTGCTCCGCCAACCTCCGAGAGATCCGCAGCCAGAATGCAGAAAAAACAAGAGGAGGGTAGCGGCATGCGGCATGAAACAGGCGTAGCAGAGGCGTAGCCTACGGGCAGCCTGCAAGTTCATAGATGTCATTGCGGGCATCATAGGGGGGGAAAACCTGGGGACACCTGGGGCCCCAGCTGCAACATGTTGATGCCCAGGTCCAGGCGCTCCTCGTCCAGGAACTGTCAGTGTGTTTCTGTCTGGGTTTCTGTCCTGGGTTCTGCTTTTTTCTCTCTTGCACTCTCTCCTCCGCAGTGTCTGGCAGGTTGGCGACGAGGCCCAAGCCTGGATATGATTGTCGGAGCACGAGAAAGTCGTCTGCGTAGCAACAGGGCCGGCCTGCCCCCAAGGACAGGCACCGGGCCATCCCCACTGGCATGACACGCCGACTTTGAAGCTCATCGCTCCATGAGTCACGGCCCTGCCTGTGGAGGGGCCGAGCAAATCGGCGGTGAAGAACTTCTGGAATGCCTGCCAAATGAGCCGAGCTGGAATCGCGCTTGAAGGCGACGGATGCTAGCAAAATTGAACACAAAGGATGGCAAAGGGCCTCGCCAGGAAAGTGACAGCCAAGCAGGGCGTCACCTTCTCGCATCAAACGCTGGTACTCGGTCTCGCTTTGCGCCTGGCACTGGAATTCCGCAGCTTTCGTGGGCATGCGTATCATGTGTTCATGCGGCCGCCTGCTGCTGTGTGGCATGGAGAAGATCCTGCCAGTGCAACACCCCAACCTGCGGGCCAACGGAAGTGTGCTGGGACCTGGGGGATCCTTTGATCACATAATAGGTGGCCATACAAGGAGCGGCCACCAAACGAACAAGGAACGGCCACAGAAACATTTCACGGACATATGGTTTTCACACCTTGTTTTTTTCGACATTCGTCATCTGTCTGGAGCATCATGAGCATCAGAGAAAAGATAAGGTACTCGACTATACAGGGCTAGACGTACCCACAACATTCTCGCACGCCGTTGAGCCAACATTTTAAGGTGTAGGGCAGGGCTGAAGAACACCCAACCCTCCACACCCTGAACTTCCCTGAATTTTGGGGCGAGCTTGAAGTTGGACATTGGAGTTATATGGGGTTCAGGTTTAACGAAAAAATTCGGAATCGTGAGGGGTGGTCTTAACGCAGGAGCCTTTGTAAGAAACCCTGACCCTAAAAGTTCGCGGCTGCAGCGCCGTACGTGGTCCTCACGATCTGCCGGGCTCTCATTTTTCCCGCGCACGCTGCCAGTTTGACGGTTCTGCAAGCAACCATCTTTGAAGCAGCCGCTTCTCCGCCGTGCGACGGTCCGTGCAACGGAGCGTTTTCATCAGTTGCTTAAGAGCATCTTCGTCCATCCACGTTGAAAAATAGTGGGGGTTTCTCCACCCATCCCAAAGAATCAAGTGGCAAAATAGGTGCAACTTAGGTCGCACTCGGTACCGAAATCTTTTCAGAGCAATGTTTTGCTCAGCAAGAGCAAGGTATGCTCTTAAGTACAGCAGTCCAGCTTCCCTAGCATTCTCCCTTTCAGCATCGGTGAGGAAACGTCCAGCATTGGAGAAGATGGACAGGCAATGATTGCTAGCCCAAAGCGCCACCACCAGATTCCTGTCCAGCTGGACATTTGGGCCAGCCAAAGCAATCTCGCTGAGAAGCCACTGCTGTACCACGTAGGTGTCGTAGCCGGAACTTTTCCTTGAAATCATGCAGCAAAAAGCACAAGTTGGGAAAGCTTGGCTTCATTTATGAAGTTCTGATATCAGAACACCTGATCATAGCCACTACTATATTCCGAGTAAGGGTCAGCTCCGGATACTTCTTGCTCGCCCATCCAAGCTTCGATTTCGTCAGCTTTTTGAGTCGAAGGTTGAAGTTGTGGGCCTTTGCATATTCACGCAGTCGTCGCGTGGCTTCCTTTAGTTTGGCATCCATGTTGCCCAGACCAAAAATGGTAGTGTGTAGCATCTCTATAATCCCACTTCCAAGGAGATCTCTTCCAATACCGAGATGGTATACGTGTAGCAAATCCGGAAAAATGTTCCGGAGATTGAAACCAGCTAGCTGATAATAGGCCGGTCGCAGATCCCAAGGCTCTTCAGCATAGCAGCTTGTCATGTAGGGGGCAGTGTTGATGTTCGTGAAGACATTGCTTTGCTCAGACGCCCCTTTCGTCGCACCGCATATCCAGCAGATCTGATCAGGGAAATGTGGTGTACACTCAGAAAAATCGCACAATGCGCACAATTGGGCTGCAGATCGACATCTTTACAACCCGATCCTCGTCCCTGTCCGCATAGCGATTGAAATTGAACACTTGCTTCAGGGCCTTCCAATCGCCACGGAACCCTGTAGCATACAGGTCCAGGCGGATTACCTTATTGCTCACACCGGCTCATTGAAAAAACAAAAGAAACAACATACCTCGCGCAGCCTAGTTGCAGGAGCATTCCCCATTGAAGGTAGGTCGTGGATGACCAAGCCATCTTTAGAGAGCTTGTTGAAGGATTGTGTGATTTCCCCGCAGGCAGCTTGAGCAGTTAAGTTGAGTTTTGTGTCGGTAATGACATACCTTCGCTCTGGCAGGATAGCACATAGGAAGCGAGAAGCCGAGGAGTCGTTCAACGAACCGCTCAGGTCACTTGTCCACATCAGAAAGAGCCACTGCTCATTGACAGCCGTGGCCTCATCGCCTGTCGGACATATGCACCCAGGATTGGTGAAGGCTTATGATTCAGCTATATCGCTTAAGAACTCTGAAGAAAAAGTCCATTCTAACGTTGTAGACTGGTTTCTGTAGAGCGTGCAAGGGATTGAAGAACGGGTGCGGTTTGCTGCAGGGTGGTTCGGTTGCTCCCGCAGAAAGTTCTCCCAATACACAGGCACCATGTCCCAATCTGCAACCAGCATGTCCAAATGACCCGATTTTGCAATTGCTGAAACCTGGGGCTCATTGAGGTTGAGGTTAAGGTGGCTTTTTGGGATGGACATAGATTCCCTTTCAACACAACACACCCAAAATTATACCCACAGTCAGTGTTGGAAGGACCAGGTTGTGCGGTAGGATCATTGGCCAGTCCATCCAAGTGATTTGTTCATCATCGTCCAGCATCGGCAGCTTGACATAGGAGATCTCACAGTCAAGCGAAAACCCAAGCTTCGCCGCACGTTCATGAAGTCCTTTTTCTTTGGACCTCAGGTGCACACAGCTGCGTGGAAGGGGCCATCCCGGAGGCCTTCTCTGTAAGTTGCTGTGGGCTATATATAGTTTATAAGTAACAGTAGCTGAGCAGCGACGTCAACAGATTGCTCTCCACAGCCTTGCCAATCTCTGCAGCATGCTTCACAGATGAGTAGCCACGACCGATTGTTCTTGCAAGCCTGAGATTTGAAATTTGAACCCCCCAAAATGTGCTTGAGACACATGATTTTAGTCTTGCCAGTCGCACCGTGTTGTATACTGACCAAGCAGCACAGCATCCACGGCATCACGAACTTGCGCTACAGATCCCGTTGCACCTG